GCTCATAATTTCGAAGGTGATGAGGAGTTGGGGAGGAGGGTTTAACTGTTTGCCTCTCGATAATTTCAACCTTGATTTGTGAGGCCATTTTGCTCATCAAGTGATGCAAGTAGAAATGTGAGTTTGATCGATGGGGTTGGAGATCTGCACTCAATTGAATATATAACTAATACTATTTATGGGCACGGCCAAGGGCGTAACTAGGAATTTTTCAATGGGTTGCTTAGCTAAAATTATTAGCTGAAAATCTATGATCATTTTTTTATGTACTTACAATTTCTATAGTAAATGAAAGTACATATTAAATAATATAAATCACGCTAATTCATAGCTCTATTAACTAATTTCCAATTAAAAAAAAAATTCTCTCAAGAGATTGAACCTAGGATAAGGGTAAATGGTCTTAATTATTTGAGCTACAATCCCCTTGCAATTTTCAATAAGCTTTAGCATAAAACAAATACATATTAAATGCAACCAAAAACCCACATATTATTAAAATGAAAATATGTTCAACAACAGAATTGAAAAAGTACCTATTTTAATGTGTATTTTTATTGTTGTTCTGCAACTAAATTCATAAAAAATTGGACTTTCACTTCGATATATTTTAAACAAGGGAAATAAATAAGTTTGATTTTTTTCCCCCTAAAATCTCCCTAGGTTGTAGTGTGCAGCCTTTGCAGTGGTTGTAAAACCCGTGTCTTGGGGAAACAAGAACGGTGAGCAATCCCACATCATTCGGGGAGGGAAAGGTGAAGTGCTTTATATGTGTGGGCACTTCTCTTCTTAGCAAGAGGCCTTTTGGGTAAGATAGCATTAGCTTGAGTCCAAGAACAAAACCATGAGGGGGGAGTATTTTTGCTCACCGCATTAACTAAAGGTGTATGCTCACCACCGCACTTAATGAGATATGGGCCCTTTTTTAATTTTTTGTTTTTATTTGCACATAAAAGTTAATTAAGATTAACCATAGGATATGTGTCATTCTTTAAGAGTGATGGTCACTATCTTTAGTTAATGTGATGAGAAAAATACTCTCGTACAATGCTAGGTAGGATTGTTTGTTGTTGGTTTATTAATGTGTTAGGTGTGATTTTTGACCCAAAAAAAAAGAGTGTTTGGTGGGATTTAATTAATATATACCAACTTGTTGTGTGAGTGATTAGTTTTGTTATGTGGGATTTTATGAAGACGAGACTTGTAGTTTTGATTGGGGGCTCTAGCTCAGAGATTCTTCCGACCAAAAAAAGAGCTGATAGATTCTTTTAGCTAGGTTGCTCATAGTATAGTACAAGAGTTGCTAGATGGGCATGTTCCATCGTTTAACATATGTTCCACATGTTCCTTACAACACATGTTGCATTGTTTTTATAACACATATGTTCCTTACTTTTGGTATTACGTTGACAGCTAGGTAACATATGTTCCACATGTTCCTTACAACACATGTTGCATTATTTTTATAACACATATGTTCCTTACTTTTGGTAATACGTTGACAGCTAGGTAAATATCTGTTTCTCAACAACTTTATAATATTTATGTTCCTCACTTTTGTTAGATGGGATTGTTTATTGTTTTATTAATGTGTTAGTGGGATTTAAATTCTTGCAGATAGATTCACTCAGGACATAACCTGAAAGATTCTATAACACATGTTCCTTATAACACTTGTTCCATTATTCCTATAACACATGTTCCTTATGACACATGTTCAATTGTTTCTATAACACATGTTCCTTATGACACATGTACCATTGTTTTTATAACACATGTTCCAATCATTATAGAAAGATTGGTGTAAGATTGCAGATCTGAAAAGAATACCACGTATTGATATTCTTTCATTATTGTATTGTATCAATACGGAGCAGATTAGTTTAAGAAACTTCAAAGTCTCTCCTAATGAATGGCCAAGATGAATACTTACTCCCCGAGTTAAAAATGACGGTCAAGATCGAATCTTGCCTGTACAAGTTAGTAGTGTACATTCGGCCTGCTGCACGTTCTGTTCTTTTATTTGCAAGCTCTGGTGTATGTTTAGGTGACAAATGTGTATATTATAAATTTTGATATGGAAACCAAATAATATTGTGTTCGATACATAGATGACATTGATATAACCATTATTTCATACATTTTTATTCTCTTTCTCTTACATTCTTGCTATGTTCTTAAATGAAGTTGTTCATTTTCACTTATCTTTGTATTATTAGGTTTGAAGAGTAGAGTGGAAAAAATATGCAAAAGGAGCAGTTTTGGGATTGAAAGATGTTTCGCAAGACTGACATGTGCAGATCAGCCAACGTGACGAAATATACTATACTTCCTCATAGCAAACCATATATTAAGCCTTATGCCGTTGGAAATATAAAGATATTCGCTTTGAGTAAAATTTTGCGGTTCGTGATTCGGACGTGTGTGGAGAGAGTTGTGGTCGTTCTATTACAAACAGTTCGAACATAAAGTGTGTTCTGCAAATTTTGCAAAGTGATTCTTTTAAAGTTCATTCCTTGGAGTCCAATTTGTGTCAATTGCATTTGGGAAGTGTCTAAAAGTAGAGTTCAACATTGGGTCGGACCGAGGTTTCATAGAACTTGGCCCGAGCCACCCAAGGGCCTAGATAGGCCTGGATTTTTTAAATATATTTTTTTCTATTTGTATTATATTTTTTTTTTTGAGTCTTTTTATATATTTTTGTCACAAATTTTTAGACAACAATGAAAAAAAGTAACCAATAAATGAGAGCGCTGTGTGAGCAAATAAATCCGACGTCCAATCAAAAGGCGCCACGTGGAAAAGAAGCTAACTGCTAACTCTAGAAATATATTATTTAAACCAGTAAATCAGGTTTAGTAATATATTTAATAGGGAAGTTACCTATTTAAGTTGGGGGAATAAATTCCATAAATCCCCTCAATCAAATTATTCAAGAAATGAATAATTCTCTTTAAGGAGAATTATTCCCTCCTTAAATGGAAAAGAAGATGTTACAAAGATGGAATGCTATTTAAATAAAAGGAGAAGACAAAGAAGGTAATTCAAAAACTTCCTCTTAACTTGGGAAAACCCTGAGAGATTACACACTCTCTTTCTCTCTCTCTACCTAGCCGAATTCCCATCTCCTTATCACACTCATGGCTCCAGGATGTCACCACCTCTCTTACCTACTTGGCTCTCATGCCAACACCACACTCTCCCGTAGAGAATTATCTTCGTCCTTTCAGTATTATCTTCATCTTCCGAGATCATTTTACTGACTTAGGCATCGGAGGGCCCTTAACCACCACCACACTGGTGGTTCTCCATTGACCGCAATTTGTCTTGCAGGAAATCTAGGGAATCTAGTAGGGGAACGGTCGAGAGAGAAGATTTATCCGTGAATATTCTCGCATGAGAAATTTGCACAAACATTTTCGTGCTTTCATTGAGAGGTTCGAGATATACTCAATGTGATGCTCTCGAATTCAAATAAAGGAAAATCTGTTTCCTCCTCATCAATCGATTCCATCATCGATCCAAAACCTTCAAAGCACCATGGCGAGAAGTACCATCACAAAGAAAACAATAACCACATGTTTTCATCCACCGCTGCATGTCAAAAAGAAAGAAGTTCAACATGGTAGCCTGCATGTCGGAGCCCGAGTCGAACTTCAATATATGGTTTGAACATATCAAGCCATTATCTCTCGATAACGCTTCCGGAGCTCTATCTCGCGATAACGCTTCTGCAAGGATATTATCTCTCTCTTTGTTTTACTTACCTACAATAATTCTTAATGATATTGATATTTTAATATTTAATTTTGAATTAATGCACTTTCCTAATAAATATTGGAATTTAATATTTATTTTGAATTATGGCATATTCTTAATAAATATTAATAATTAATATTTTTTGAATTATTGCACATGCCTTATTTAATAATCTTATTAAGTCACATGTGAATGTGATATTACAATTGGCATATATTATAGTATCACCCTTTTTTTTTTTGGTCTGAACCACGAGGTGGTCCTGGATGGGCCCCAACTATGGGTGACACCTTTAAGCCTTAACCACAATTCAGACTAATCCCAGCTCACACCGGGTCGGCCCGTAAGGGGTAAAGTGTTGGCCAAAGTGATGACTCCATACGAGAGCGAGGATCGAACCCCTGACCTCTCTTAAGGAATGAGAGTGCCGAACCACTCACACAAACCACCTTGGTTTATAGTATCACCCTTTCATCATGCCTGCTAATTATGTTTTATAACTGATGATCAGGAAAATACCAAACGAGTGCTGATGGTCTTATAAGACTAGACCCTGATGATGCTTCCATTGCACATTTCCAAATGAGTGCTGAAACTTCTTCCACTCGTGTAGAGAAATCTAGTGGTGGAAAAAGAGATGCAGCACCAGCAACCTTATGCGATTGGGTTGTGCATTTCACAAGTGATGAAGAGTTGGGGAGGATGGTTTAATTGTTTCCCTCTCAATGATATCTACCTTGATTTCCATGGCCATTTTGCTTCTCGTGAATTGATCATAGAGCCGAGCTGGCTTTATAAAGAAAAAAAAACACATGGAAAAACAGCTTCTAAGAAAATCCCAATTGAAGTTTGTAATTGTTCGTCTAAATGCATAACTTCTGGCAACATATATTATTCAATTATTGCATGGTAGTCTGTTTTGGTGGTAACATAAGTTATTGTATGGTGTGGCTTTTCTGTTTTATGATTAGTTAATTAAAGGCTCAACTTCACAGCTAGATCAAGGACCAATTTGGCCCATAACTCAATCCATTATATTATATACACACAAGTTCTTATATTATCTTCTAAGGATAGAGAATCTCTCACTTTGGGATTTTATACCGCTTTGTGAAGAAAAAGAAAAAAACAATTCCAAGAAGACGAGAGACTTCAAGTCAAGGGATCACATGACTCAACCGCTAAGACTTTTTTTTCTTTTTCCCTCTATCTTTTGTGTCTAGAAGTAGAATCATTTTGAGTTCTTGTCCAATATTTCATTCCAATTGTCGCCTCTTTCTTTCTCTATCTCTCAAATACACACAAGGCACAAGGAGAGGAAAAAAGAAAGAAGAAAACTTACAACTCAAAGCATACAACAACGAGCACATAACAAAGAAACCAGCAGCAGAAGAAGGAATTTCGAAATATATATATATATATATATAAAAGAGAAAGAACAAAAAAAGGAACAAAAAACAAAGTTGAAAGCCTTCTATTCAGCAGCAGATTGTGGACCACATTCTCTTCTAGTATGATAATCTTGTTTCATCTGGGACTGGTTGTGATTAGAATCTTCATCATGAACATGATGAGCCTGAGCTTGAGCCTTTGGAATATTATGAGCACTACTGGAAAATAAATCCACAGGCTCAGAATCAGCAATTTTGCCTCCTTCAAGAGGCATCCCATGCTTGTATGCAACCCACACGTTGTCGAAAACCACAACCATTTCCGAAGGAGTTTTGACGGGAATTAGATGTTGTCGGAAATGATTATTTATTGCCAAGGGAAATCAGTAGCTCTCGCAAGAGGATGTCTATTTGCGAGGGCATCTAGTGGTCGTCCGAAAAGACTATTTTGTACCCAATTTATACTTTTCCACCATTGTTTTAGTTATACATGTACATGCTAGTTTAACAATATTTATAGTCACTATACTAGCAAAAGGTGCCCGCGCGATGCTGCGGGTTTTAAAATCAAAGGCAGTTTGTACTAAACATATATGTCTGAATATCAACCCAAAAACATCAATCAAATGAAACCAAAGGCAGTTTATAACAACTCCATGTCCTTTTTCATGTTAAAAAAGCTCCCTCAAAAAAACAAAACATTTCAAAAAGCCACAAGAAAAGGGCCCCCTTGGTCACCACTTCGAATCCCAGGAAAAGTGCCCCCCTCCCCAAATCGCTGCATTTCCACACAAAAAAAAAAAGAAAAAAGAAAAGCAATATCATGTTATTATCACTCTTATCAACAACTCCTCCAAACACATCAAATCTTCCATAAACTAAAAGTTAAAAGTCAAAAATATTAATATGTATCTAAGCACAGATCATACATGAAACAGCTTGTCATTTGTTCAAACTACATAAGAATTACTTGGCTTTATTTACAGATGTACAACCATAGCAATTAGTTCAAATTTATCCCAACCAATTGTCAATTTATGCCATTAGCTAATTACTATGCTTTATTCACAGAACCGAAACAATAAATTGGAATTTCAACATAGAAACGCACTTCTAGCTTAAGAGAACCAAAAACAAACACCAAACAGCTTTATCTAAAGCAGCAAAACACCACCTACAAAACATCAAAAGGAGACATGGTTGAAAAAGAAGAGGAGAAAAAGCAAGAAAAAACTGAAACAATCGAAAAAATTGCAATTTTTTATTTTCTAGTCCCAAAACTGTCCAAATATGTTTTTATGTGCAGTGTTTTTATATGAGATGCTTGAACTTCGTTAGTCCACTACTAAAACAAAAGAAAAATCCTGGAAAACAAAAACAAACACCTGCTAGTTCATCTTTGGCCAGTGACTACACAACATCAATCAACCGCATGATGTGGAGCCCTAATGGGACACTTTTAGGTAAGCATAGGTGTCCTTGTTTGTTTAGTGTCTATTTAATTTTATTCTCATATTGTGAAGTAGACACCTGCTAGTTCATCACAACAAAGTATTATCAAGAAATAGGAAATCAATCTTAAGCTGGTTATGATCAATCAGGTTTCTACTGCAGGTGTAGCATGCTCTAAGCACATCGTGCAGATATACTCCTATGGGGGTAAATTGACTTAAGTATTGCTGTGGTTGTCCTCTTGTTTTCAGATGGAGGCTCATGTGTGTTGTCACGTGTGGGGAGGATAGGGTCATTAAGGTTTGATCTATGACTTAACTAATTCTGAAGTGATTGTGCAGGTTCAAGTTCAAGGTCAGTTATGATTTTTCAATATTCTGCATGTGTGGGATGCAGTCAAAACGAAAAACTTAGAAAGTGAGTTTCAGAAACCATACCTCAGTTCTTGGCGCCGATTTCGCAGCAAGGATTGAAAGCGCACGAGATTGGGATTTTGGAATGGGAGAAGGAGGAGGCGGCGAGTTCGAAGCGGGGTGAGATGATCGAAAATTGATTAGGTGAAGACGATCGAAAACTGATGAGATCAAGACCAAACGAAATCCCAAAACACCAAGGTGGTCTTGGCAGCCATGGGAGGCTTGGAAATTGGAGGGTCGCTTGTGTTCTTGATGGGTTTCAGCTTCTTGGCATCAGTGACGCTTCTGGTTTTGAGCTCACTGCTTCTGTTGATCTTCATCACTCTGCTGTTTTTTGCTGGGTTTGTGTTTGTGGGAGCGATGACTGGGTTTGCTGTGGCTGGAGCCATGGCCCTCACAGGCATGTCCACTTTGGGGTGGATTTTCCAAGAGCTTGGAGGCACAGGTCTTTTGGGATTTGGTGGTGTAGCTGAGAGATTGAAGGAACAATTTTCGATTGGAAATGGTGCGTTCTCTAAGCGAACGAACATTTGGGAACGGAAGAGAACCGAAGGGAAAGGGGCAAGAAGGGGAAAAAATATTAGCGAAGGGCAATACGGTCATTTTACTGCTTATAGCTTTCTTTCACAGCAATTTTTAACCATAAGTGATTTTCTCACAGTTTACCAAACGGGCTGGACTTCTCAAAATTTTAAAAAAATCACTTATCTCCACAAATAAGCAATGTCAAACGGGCACTTAGTATATATATAATTTATGTTGTGAAACTGTGAA